CCCCCCCCCCCCCCCCCACCTACTTCAATCGCAAATACCTCGACTCAGATTCCTGAGACAAAAAGTTAACTCTTTGAGCCCTAGCCACCGGTACACTGGTGGCGTGTAAAATTGTTGGTATGCACACGGAAAACAGTGTTAACTGCACAGGAGGCTATTGATTATTTTGAAAATCTTTTTGAATTGGAAGCAGGTAACGACAAAGACTACACTACGTGGGATGTGGAATGTGATTCTGACGATAATATATGAATGAAGGCGTGAATCGTTCAAGGACTCAGGCAGAAGAGCACGGTAGCCTCAGGAGCTCAGGGCTCAAAGCGTTAACCCCTTCACTGCCCGGTCCACTGATTCAGCGGGCCAAGAAGTGCTTCCCCTGTGCCAAGTGCCCACATATTCGGTGGGCCTATGATGAAGTCATTTTTCTATGTCATTTTCCACTGTATAAAGGGACAAAACTGTATCAAGACTAATCCTCAATGATATTACAGTAGTCTCCTATAAATCTGAGTGCCATTGTCATTGTTTTGAAGAAGTGAAGCCTTGACCTTCTGAGTTGTGTTTCTGATTTTTTTTTTGCTTTTTGCTTTTCGCATTGGCATCTAATAGACCAGCCTATTGTCCCTCCTTATCAGCTGCAGAAGTTCTAGACGAAATTATGAGTGATTGTGACAGTGATGATAATGATTTCCATAGAGGTTCTGAGCCAGGGGCTCTATGTGACTATGTGACGCTAGTAGTAATTGGAGTAATTTTCCCCGGCACGGCTATGTAGCTCATAGCCAGGCGGTGGAGGGGTTAAGACCTCACCTTGATCCGCTCGCTGTCCAACATTCCAAGCCAAAGAGGCACAAAGTCTTTGTAGGTCACCGTTTTGTTGGCTCCCGGCACATCCATGTCTCCGAGGCGGTCCTCAGATTGGGATGTCTCGGCCAGCGGTGGATGAGAGCAGGTTCGAATCAAGCCTTGGTACACTGAAACAGTACAAAATGTGGGGCTTCATGGTGAAGTCAGGCGCTCCTCAAAATAACAAAATCAAATAAATCAACACTTTCCTCCATTTTCCTCGCTCATTTGGCAATATTTATTGATTTTTTGCTTTGTTTTGTTGGGGCTCAAAACCTTTTATATCAATTTAAAAACACATTCCTGCATCAATTTTTTTTTCCGAAAACAGGTCTCTTTTATCAGGAGCTCATTCATTAGATGAAGACTTATCAGACAGAGGAGATTGGAGGCCAAGAGGAAGCTCAGCACAAATGAGATATTTTGCTTATCAGCTCAGCTTCAAAAATTTGTAATTTATTTAACCCTATCCGTACGTCGTGTTTTACTATCGTATCCATACGACGAGGGGAACTCTGAGCCACCACTTTCCGAAGAGGAAATTTACTTGTTCATCCAATCCGTACGCTTTGCATAGCAGTCTGTCAAAATGATTTTTTGAGAAATACTGAAAGTATCAAAGAGATCTATGTACTAGAAGTATTCTAAAATGTGAAGAATACAACCCCGGGGGTACAAAAATGACCACAAGGCGTACGGATAAGGTTACGGTAAAAAAAAACAACTGAGATCCCAAAAAAAACTTTCATACGAGCAGTACAGGCACTTTTTCAAATCCCTTTAGCTGCGAGCATGCTCTTGGCAGCGATACAGGCACTTGACTACGAAAGGAAGAACAGCGAACACACCGATGGTGGAGAGAATCTGCTGGAAAACCGCGGCCTTGTCCACCAAAGTCAGCAGCAAAAGCAGTATGGACTTGTAGGTGACAAACTGCAGCTTCTTCACCACGCGGTGGAAGTTCTCCATGAGCAGGATGATCAACCTCTCTAAGACAACGGCATACGGCGCAGAGACCTGTCGATAAAGAGAGGGCTTTATTGCTAGGACAGTATATGATGACACAAGGATTTGAAGATGAAGAAAGCGATATGTTACAATAACAGCATTTTATTATGGTACAATGATCTGTCGATAAAGAGAGCGCTTTCATCTTCACTTTCCGCCCCTACCTCCTCACCTCCTTTGCCCCCTCCTCTGGGCTCCTGACTCTTTCTGCAACCTTTCTACGGCTATTCCTTGGCTCCTTTTTACTGCTGTCTTTCAGCCACACCCCTGGTCTTCTGGTAGGAAAGATCTACACCAAGCCTTCTCAGACAAGGCCGAAAAATCTCGGAAGGCCCGTGTGCAAGTTGCCCAAGTTGAAAAAAAATCCCTTCGTGGTCTAAAACTGATAAGAGTAGGCTTCGGCCGCCACCAGCGCAAAATTCAAAATTTCCTACAAACTGAAAATGTTTAGTAATATGTCCCGCGCGCTCATACGACCTTATGGAGTTGCGAGCGCCGTAAAACACTCACCAAAAATTTTTAAACATTTTTTAAAAACTTACCGAGTCCACCTGTCGTATGATGTGAGAAAGAGCTGTCAGGTAGCTGGGAATGGATATGAGCTTCTCATCCAGCTCCTCCACTTGACTGAAAGATTTTGAACGTACGCAGAGGTTAATGCCAGTTAAAAGATACTGATAAAACATCCATTTCACCGAAATATTTTTAAACATAATGCCAGTTAAAGTACGATAAACATCCATTTGACTGAAAGATTATGAACAAAAGTAAAGTTTAGCACCTATTAAAGATACTGATAAACATCCATTTGACAGAAAGATTTTTACCATAAGTAGCGATTAATACCTTGAGATTATTCCATGTCTCCCCACTTTCTTGTACATCATTCTCTGTGACTCTTCTCAATAAAGATAAGATAAGATAAGATACATCTTTATTGTCCAGATCCTGGCACATTAGTTTGGTGTTCCACCACAACTACACACACACACACACACACACGCAT